CTAAAATTGAACGGAACAAATATTTCCAAGCATGTAATTATTTTGTTCCAGTGCAGGCAATTGAAAGGGGACATGCTGAGATGTTTAACAGCTATAGAACCCTGATCAGACTGCAAGTGACAACCTTTGGTTAATATTCCCTTGCATGCATCCTCCAATGTAGGCCCTCTTCTTGCTTTTGTCTCCACTTCCACTTTTGTTCATGAATCAAAATCATCAACTAGAAGTCAATTCTTCCTTCCTGTTCTTTTTTAAAAAAATATTCTTAGGCTAATCTTTTTTGGTGTGATAAAATCACTGATCTATAATCATCTAATTAATTTCAATTAAACTCTTCTTCTAGTTGTGGATGAAACCAATTATTATAAATGGAGATCGGATTTGAACTGACGATTTGAAGTGGTTCCAGTTACTTCTGAAAAATGTTAGAAATTTATTAAGAACCTTTTTCTTTGGAAATTTTGATTGTTATGGACATTCTCAGCCTTACATTTGTTGGTACTATATATTATCCTATCAATGACAAGATATGAAGACTTTTGCGTACAATAAAGGAGGAATGAAGATGCAACCAAAACATATAGCTCATGAATACAACATCTTAGAACTATGTCTAACTATATGGATCACTACCACAACAGCCGAACAAGGATCATATCCCATGAAATAATGGAGCACATGGACAACCTTTGTGCTGACGGCCCTCCTCACCCTACCATGCCCTATATGATGCAATTCAAATTTTGTCATCAAGGGTTTATGGAAATAGGTTTATGCATAGTTATATAACATACAATCAAGTCTTTGATATAAGAGTTTGATATTAAGTATATGATAAAAATATATCTTTTAAGTGATACAATACAACCATTGCTTCAAAGAAAAAAAAAACATTTAAAGTCATGTTTGATTAGTAATAGTGGTTATTTTTTTGTCAAATTGGAAATTGGAAAAACTTCATTTGAAAGTTAGAAATAATTAAGTTTAAATGTTGAAAATTTTCTATTAAATTAAAAGATGAATAAAAAATATGTATCGTTTTTCTTTTCTTTTTTTTAAATATGTATGTATGTGTACATTAATTCTTTATTAATTGTAAAAAGAAAATCAAACAATAATACTAACTATTATGCATGTTTTTTAATTGGATAATGATTTGTGGGACGAAAGTGGGGGGCGAAAATGAGAGCCGACAAGTGAAGACAAGTGAAGTTGGTTAAATTACAAAATTACCCATTTAACCAACTTCACTTGTCAGCTCCCATTTTCGCTCTCCACTTTCGTCCCGCAAATCATTATCCTTTTTAATTTTAACTTATTTTTATAATTTTTTTTAACAATGGTCATTATCATGAAACAAACAAGCCCTAACAGATATGAACTAATAATTGAGAGGGAGCAAAGTCAAGAAATGCTTAAAATAGATGATTCTTTGGCTTTTATAGTATGGCAGGTGTGGTTTCTGTTGCCATGGGCACAAGTAAGGTCCACTATGTGATAAGAATGAACTGAATATCGTATATGGCTAGTTCCAAAATGATTCTATTTTGTATTTTAATCACGGAGATTTTTCATACGTTAACTATTAGACTATGAAAAGAATAAATATGTCCCTTAAAAAAGTCTCAAATGTTAAAATTTCATAATTCTAAATTTAAGGTCGATCGTTTGAAAATTTATACAAAAAAAGAGAGTTATTCTCACTTTGTATAATCAAACATTAGGTTTACCAAATGAAAAAAGAAGAATTGATTAAGAAAGAGTCTTTCATACTTTTCCCCCCAAATATAAGTGGTCATTTTCTTTGGTCGTTATAGAAGTCTCATACATTGTACCATTTTCTCCGGAATATAATTGCCCACTCTACTAAAAGAATATATATATATATATATATATATTTAAAAAGTAGCAGATTATTTTTTTTAAGTAGTGCATATTCATCTTGTTTTTTAAAAATTAAAAAAAAATTATCTTAAAATTACATTATTTTAACAAATTTTTATTAAAAAAAGACTAAAATATCTTATTTTTAAACCATAAATTAAAATATTTTTTGTTATTTCATGTAATACTTTATTAAAACTACTTAATTTTAGAATAATTTTCTTCATAATTTCTAAGAGATAAACTGGATAAACATTAATCTCTTATTTTTTTAATAAAAATTTTTTATTTTATAATTTAAATCACATTAAATTATAAAATAAAAATTATTAAATAAAAAATTAATCTTTAATATAAAAATTTTTATCTTCATCTAAAAATAATATAAATAATAATTAAATATAATTTAATTATATAAATTTTTTTATTGAAACCCTGTATAGTATAGTCATAATTTTAAATTTTTTATTTTAATTTTTAAAAATTTTAAAAATTTAAAATAAAATTAAATAATTTTATAAAATAATAAATTTAGAATATTTATTTTCAAATTTTATTTTAGTAAATTGATAATTATTATTTTTAATTTTATTTTTTAATTATTTAAAATGTAAAATCTAAAACCGAAAACTCAAAAAACATAGTGAAAGGAGGCGTAAAAAATCAAACTAATTATAAAATTCCTCCATAACCACAGGCTGCACTAAAGAAAAAGGACATTGAAACGTACTCTTCTTCATCCCCTCAATTTCCCATATTAAAAAAAAAAAAATTACAGAGAAGGATCACTTTAGATTCACTGAGAGAGAGAGAGAGAGAGAGAGAGAGAGAGAAGGATCAAAGAAAGAGAAAAGGCGTCTTGAGCGTCGGGGAACAGTTTCTCTCAACGTCAGAATCGCACCGGCTTCCTCGACTCTCCGACGCCAAGCTCACGATCGTCGGCAACATCACCTCCGTCGAAGCTCCGATGAGATATCTCTGCGTGAGATTCTGACACGTATTACACAGAAAACACCTGATGTGTCTGAGTGCCAAGAAATTAGCCTGGTGCACCCATGTGTCACATTTCCGACACAAAAATGCATCATCCGCTTGACAATACAACGAAGCCGTCGAGTTGCACAGCTCACATCGGACCGACGATCGGGACGGCGATGATGGGGTACCCTGTTTCAGACAGGAATAACCACCTCTGTTTCCCTCTGGAATTCCCCTGCACATTTTCGGATTTCTTTCAGAAATTGCTGGCTAGAACATAGAAGTTAGAAGCTAGAAGCTGGAAAGTTTGGAAGAAAACTATACACCAAAATGAAACACACATTTATTTATAAGGACAATTTTTCACATGAAAAGGGGAATGGCAGTAAAGGACAAAAAAAAAAATGGTTCTGTTTTTTTCCTTGGAAACTTCTGCGATATTTATTAAAGCAGAGAGGAAAGGAATGAACGGGTATGAGAATTTGTGGTGGAGAAAATGAGGCTTTGGGGAGGTGGTTTGATTGAGGAAGGAAAAATCTTGAAGGTGATGTTGAATTTGGAAGATTTTGAGGATAGGAGAGAATTGTGAGGGGTGGAGTCCAATAATTTGACAAAGAGAAAAGAAAGATGATTAAGGCTGCAATGTGTTAAAGAAAGATGCTTGAAGGGATGTTATGAGCCATGATTTTTGAGTGTCCAGTGGTTACAAAGTCAATTTTAGGTTAGTAAAGGATGTAAGGAGGTGTATGGCCCAAAATTAAAGCTCGTTTCTGGGGTGTGGTGTATGTCACTTGGACATGATTTTTTTTGGCCCACCACTAGGACATGATTTGACTCTTTATTTCTTGTCTAAGGGAAAAAAATATAGGGTATTGTTCCAGAATTATGGAAAAAGACATAAAGTACGTGGGATATGTCCCTAATCCTTTAAGATAGATCAAACTAGGCCCGAGATCTCTCCATTGTTGTAATTAGGACCCTGATTTTTTTTTTTTGGGAAGGACCCTAATCTTTTAGGTTGTTTTTATTGCCTTTTTGGTGTTGTACTTTTGAATTTTTATAATAGCTAAGCACTCACTTGTCTCAAGTAAATGATAATTATGTAATCGCATCTCTTTATTTAATTGAAAATTATTTTCTATTGTTTATAGTATCAAATAAAAGATAAAACTACTAATGTATAGTTTTGCTCATTATAACACCAAATAAACTGTTTGCCTACAACTACAAAATAATGGAGCATGTTGTGTAAAAACTATTAATCAAATCTTTTATAACATTATTTTGTGAGTTTATCTATGTTTCTAGCATTTTCCTTATAGTTTAAAATAATGAAATCTTTTTTCTTTTTTAATGAAAAATAGAGATTTCGTTAAAAAGTAGAATGATATTACATCAAAATTCTTTATCATGACACTATAACATAAAATTGAAGCATTACCCATAGCACTAGTTACAGACTTAAAACCATACTTATGACAAATCTAGACAATTAAGTATAGAGAGCCATCTGTAATTAGGGATTAAAAACAATCATTATAGAGACAAATATAAAGCTACTTAAGTAGGAGGATTATCCTATTGAGTGGTTGAATACTACTAGAAAATCTCACCAAAATTGTTAGCTTATAGGGAAAGCAAATAACTCAACAAGTGATAGTTCTCACTCATCAACTGTTGGTTCTTTCCCACAACAAAACAAGCCTCAAGCTCCTATCCTCTTACAAGCCTATATTGCCACCATCTATCACTACCTAGAATCCACCAATGATCTTCAAATCCAAGCTCCTTTATTGCCACTAACTATCATCTCTCACTTGTTGCATACTACTTGATAAGAAAGGACTCAACACACCTCAAAATCCTATTGCTAGGATTTAGAATGGTAATTGAGAAAAAATTACCTTAAGCAAAAGAGTGAAAGGGAAGTAGAGGGGCCAAGGACAAAATGAGGGGCCTAAAATTAGGAGGAGGACAACATAGGAGGAGAGGGGTAGGCAGAAAAAAGGATGACAAAGGGAAAGGGTAAGGAGGTGGGAAGTGGAGGAGGAAGGAGGAAGGAGGAACGGTGGCAAATGGCCCTTGCTCCAAACCTTTTTAGGTAATGAAATCTTTAACTTATTTAAATAATGTCATTAATACATTAAATTTATTATTTTCTTAATTAACAACAACTAGATAAATGATAAATCCACAAACATCATTTAAATGCATACACAACAAGTTACTCTCCTAAAATGATGAAACTAAATGAAACAAGGACCTAACTAGATTATTTACAATTAAAAGAGCTTAGGGGGACCTAACAATAACAATTGAAAAATTATGGACCTAAGTGAACTAAAATTAATAGTTTGAGAAGCACCCGCAACATAATTCTCCATTTCTCTTCCCCGTTACAAGGAAATTAAAGTATATTTTCTTTCTGGTGAGCAAGACAGACACCCATGATGATGTCCTTGTCCACATGTTTATTTAACGTTGATGGAAGAGAACACTTGTATGGTTGAGACTTGAAAGCTTCTAATGCCGTCCAACCTATTATTATGTGTGGACCGTCTGAATTTTTGACATAAAATAATTAATGTGAAAAAAAAAAAAAGAAGAAGAACAGAGAGGGGCTGTTTAGTTCGAAAGAAATCCATTGGAGGTTAGGATTTTGATTCGGTGGGTGGAGGTGTCAATAAATGACTGGCATTTGCAGAGTGGGAAAAAAAAAAACAAAGGTTTTCTTACGTGTACTCTTACGATGCAATTTAAAAATATAATTAATATATTTTTTATAATTAATATTTATTAAAAGTATAAATATTAATTTTACTTTAATTAATTAATTAAAATAATTTATGTATCAATATTATTAAAATAAATATCAGTTTTTATAAATTTTTATGCGAATTAATTAAAAATATATTTATTACATCTTTAATTAATATCCTTAAAATATAAATTAAACAAGTTCAAAAACAAAAAACTAAAATAAAGAGTTTATAATTTTACAATTTAAATTATACTAAATCATTAAATAAATTTTTTTTAATTTATACCTTAATGCACAAACTAAACTTGATTGATTTTAATATTTATAATTAATTTTATATAAATTTTTATATAAAATTTAAATAAAATATAATATAAAATATAAAATTATAATATAATATTTATATTTATATTTTGTAAAAAAATTAAAAAAAATAATATAAAAAATACATAATTAATTAAAAATATCTTAATTAATAAATTTTAATCTATATTTTTAAAACACAATTTAAACAAATCCAAATAGAAAACAGCCTTTAACGTCATGACTCATCTCCTACCCAAATAATACCTCTTTTTTTAAATAAACGTGTGATGGTTAGGGCTGGAAGCTGATCTGTTCGAGTTCAAAGAAGCCAGCCGCCCCGTACAACTGTAAAGTATTCGACGTGTCGTGCGTTTCAGACACGTTCATGAAGAGATGAGATTTTGGCCTCTCGGAATTTATGAGCCTTGGAATTAAGATTTCATTCTATGTATTTTCTTTTTTAAAATGTTTGGGTGAGATTTAAACTCATATTAATTAAATTTCATATAAAAAGTTTTTCACAATAAAAATGTGATTAGTATATCACGATAATGTTTTTAATTTTACTCAATGTATTTAATTTATTAGAGAAGTAGAAAATTGATGCATGTAGTCAATGTACTCAATTTTGAACAAAAACTGAAATTGTATTATGTCACGGGAAATATGCAGCCACATATAGCATATTACAAGGATCACTATAATAAGGGCAGTGATCCCGCTAAGTTGTACTTGTGCAATGATATTTTAACACGTTGCTAGCAACCAGCCTGCTACAATATTAGGCTTAAAAACTTGATTGGCAAATAAATTTAAAAATAATATATAATGGTGAGAACGCTTCTGTGATTTAATGGTCATCTTTTTCTTCTAAAGAATTTCTCATGTTCTATATATATATATATATATATATATATGTTTCCTTAAAAATCATTTAATGACTTCACATATATGGAATTTAGATGCAAATTTGTCATTTACTTTGCTGAAAGTAAGAAAAAAAGATTTTCTCAATGACCTTTTCTTTTCTCATGATCGATCTTCTTACAAATAGCAGAAAGAATATTGGTTTAAAATTAAAATCTGCACTTATAAATAATTTGCAAGAGGGAGAGATATCTTCTTGCAGAATGACTTACTAAATCTATCTTGAACAACTACAAAGACTTAAATACTATCGTGAATCAAAATTAACAGATCCTAAATGAACTAAATAGCATGCAAATTAAAGTAAACTTACAAGATTAAGATGTACCCAAACTAAATTAAACATGTTTATTGTCAAATTAAACTATTATCAACAGATAAATCTAGAAATTAAATTATTGCAAAATTGGAGATTTAACTCTAATGAACACTAAAACAAACATTAACAGGAACTAAATTAGCATACTTGAAATTGAAAAGAAGCATGAACGTTATATAAGTAATCATTTTAAGAAATGCTACTTATCATAAATATTAAATTAATACCAGTCAAAAAAGAACCAGTACCTTGCAGAAATTCAAAAGCTTGAAGTTCATTACATAAAACGAAATTGCTGAAGCCAATACATAAACTAATTCAACTATTGGAATGATTAAAAACAACCTAAATCTACTAAGAATTGTGCTGAAATTCAAAATTTGTAAGCAAAAGTGAGCAATTACAGAGAAATTAAAAATCTAAAAATTTGAAGGTTGTGTGTAAGGGCTGGCCCTGTGTTCTATGATCCAAAATTTCCTTTTTGCTCCATTTTTTTCAGTTGCAACTTCTCACTTTCTGTAGTTACACAAATCATGGCAGTTTCTTGAATTAGTGGGACATCTTAATAATTGACAAAGTGAGATTGCTTTTCACATCTCACCACCTATCCCATTATCTAATAACCCACATCCATAACTAAAACCTTCTCTTAAATTTCAGCTAAAACAAACTCAATTTAACTCAAAAAAGTAATTAAAAGATAAAATTTTATCCTTTTATCTCTTTTTTCCTATGTGGCAGTTGGTCTGTTATGGGACTCAAAATTTCATAATTAACATGATTAAATCTCCTCCATTCATTTAAAATTTCATATCTGACATGGTTAAATCATCTCCATCCATTTAAAAATTTTTTAACATATGATATGATCTTAAATTTTTGTAATTTATGGTATAAACAATATATATATATATATAAGAGCATTTGTTTTAGTGCTTTAAAAATAGTTAATAATTATATCAATAATAGTTTAGTAATAATTAATTAAAAAAATTTTATTTAGGTTAAATTGGGCAATGGTAAAGTAAATGTACAGGAAAAGATATTTATTTTGTTTTTTATTTATTTAAATATAAAATACTATACAGTTTAAATTATATAAAATTACATAATATTAATTATTAAATAAGTATTGAGTTCTTGATATTGAATATTTTATAATTTAATATAATTTATATTTTAAAATAAAATGTTTTTAAAGAAATATATTTTTTAAAATCAAGCAATTAATTTTTAATTTTTTTAAATAAAATACAAATTTTATGCGTTTTGAATTTAAGGATTTCGTGGATGGAGATGTGGACGATACGAGGCGGTTAATAAGATCCGTTAGTGGACCCCGTGACTTTTGCTGGCATGGATGGTAAAGGACGATGTGGGCAGCAAACTAAGAAGAGAAAATGGGTTGATAAAAATGTTAATTTTAGATTTTTTTTAAAATATTAATTTTATTAATTTTTAAATAAAAATGTTAATTTTAAATTTTTTTTATTTAAAAATATTAATTTTTAATTTTTTTTATTTAAAAATATCAACTTTTAATTTTTTTTATTTAAAAAATAATTAGATATAATGTTAACATGATAAATAAATTTTTTAATTGAAATGTTGAAAATAGATATTTTTAAATAGAATAAATTAAAAATTAATATTTTTAAATAGAAAAAGTTAAAAATCAATACTTTTATTTAACAACTAACAAAATTAACATAGCAAAAAATACAAAATTTACATCCTTATTTACACCATTTGTCAAATTAAGAAGTAAGAAAAAAGTTTGAATACTTTTGGTTCCTTAAGTTTTCAATTTTGTACACATTGCTCCCTTAAATACTGACATGGCAACAGTAATTATTTGAGTTAATTAAATTATATTAAGATTACATATATACCATCGTTTAGCAAAATCCACTTTCAAATCTCAACCAAAAACCAAATTCACTTTCCCAAGTTTACATAAGATAAGGAACATAAGATCTTGCGAGAAGAAGAGCAAATCACAACTACAATATCTCATAATTAACCTAAAAAACCCATGGAATTACCTTAGATATTGATTGAAAATTCTCCTTAAAGCTTAAACACTCACACCACAAACTCTTACTCTAAAATTTGCTATGGAGTGCCTCCAAAGCACTACTTAAACTTGGAATAAGCGTGAGAAATGGAATCTCAGTCATGAAAAAGAGAGATACAAGCAATTTGATGCTATAGTCTAATAAAAAATTAATCTTTTCAATAATCAATGCCCTTGATTTTTGGTTGATCAAGACTCCCATCACAAATCACAAAAATAATAGGAGGAGAGAATAAGAGAGTGAAAGGGGAACTAAATTTCGGTGGTGAGAGTTAGAGATTTAGGTGGTGAGTTGCTACCAACTTGGGATTTAGTTTGTTGAGTTTAGTTTTACGCCGCCCTTGTTTTTCTCTAGTCTATACCTTTACAGGCTAGGTTCTACTCTATGAGCCTCTAGTCCTTGACAGTTTCATTTGATTAGGGAAGTTTTTTTATTTTTATTTTTATTTTTATAAGGATAATGGTTAGTAGATTAGTATTATCAGATATTAGTAACTGGGGATTCGATCTCCAGATCTAGTGAACAGTCTACCGACCTCAATAAGGCGTGCAATCATCATGCCGCTTGGTGAAGTTCATGTAGGTCCCTATTAGTTTGATTAGATATAGGGTTTTTGGGGTGTTTAATTGTCGAAGGTGGAGTGATTATGGTTTGCTTTGAGAAATGATGCTTAAGAATATCTTTGGAATTCAAAACAGTGACACCCATGATTAAAAAACAAAAACAAAGATTTTTAGGGAATTAGAGTAATTTACAAACAGAAATTGAAAGGTATTAAAATGGAAATTATGAAGAAAATGAAAAAATAAACAAAAATTTAATTTCTTAATAACGTTGTGTCATTGTCCAATCAACCCCAATATCAACAATGCATGGTTCCTTTTAAACATGTTAGCAATTCTCTTGGCAATTCCAATTAGCTATGTCAACATCATCATTTATTAAATCCTTAAATAAAAAACTTATAAGGTTCCTGTCTTTATTTAGAAAAAAAAAAAAATAACAACCTAATTTAAGAAATAAAAAAAAATTGTATTCTTAAATTGAAAAAACAGCTAAATTAGTATCCTTACCTAACCTTTCACAAAGTTGGTGACTTGCGGTTTGATTGGATTTTGATCTCCAAAATTTTGCATTATTTGGAATAGATCAAATCCTATGATTGTAAACTTTGAACTATGGAGTCTAGCAGCAGTTTGGACCTAACTTCAAATAACATCCTTTGAAAACTCATGGAAGAGTTACTTTTGGTAGACAATATGTCAAAGCCACATGGTTGGAATCCATCTTATTCAGCCTTCTAACTAATTTAGACTGGCTATAAAGAGTCTAGAGGTTTGATTTCGCGTTACAGACAACGGTAAATTGGAGCTGTCTAATTTTACGGTAACTGGTATGGGGACCATAATAAATACAAATCAGAATAGAATCCTGGGTTCGGTGTGGAGAATAATTATATAACAAAAAACAGAGGGAGGAAAATGGGGAACAAACAGAACATTTTTTCTTTTCATTTTTTCAAATGCGGGATTTTTTGGGTGGAGGGGAGTTTTTTACTTTAAAATTCAAACAAAAATGATACAATTATAATATTTTATGGTATTATAAATTTACATTTTTTTTTTTGTATTTAAGGTCACAATATTTTTTAACTAACTTTTACATTTTTTGAAATTAATCCCTCAGGGCAATTTTAAAAGTAAATTCTTTGCATCGAGTTAACACATTTAAAAAAATTAATTTTTTTATTCATTGCTGATCCCAATACTTAAATTAAAAACTTAATTTATAAGATAACATTTGCTTATTAGTAAATTTAACTTTTAAAGTATTTATAATTATGATTTATCATTATATGATTAATTCATTTTATTTAAAACTTTACTTGTGATATTATATGTATTTATTTATTTAATAATATATTATAATTATAAATTTAAAATCTTATATAACATTGTAATTCTAACATCACCCAAATTCAAACCCTGATCTAAACCACGGGAAACAGGGGAACTCCAGTGCAGCTACCGCTGCGAGTGCAACAAACAGAAGAAATTTGTATCTATAGGCCATTGATAAGTCCCCTACCTCATATACAAAAGGAAATAAAGCAGCATCCATCTTCAGAGCAGTTTCAAACCTTACCTTTTTCTATTATTTGCGTCATTGGGTGGTGGGTTGGGTAATTTGGAGAGGATTAGGTGCACCACCTTCAAAGAGAATCCCGGGACCTAATTTCCAAAACTAGTCTTGACTTTAATGTATAATATACAAACAAAATGTCTTTTCTTAGTGCAATTTAGACCTTTGATGTATTTAAGTATTCTTGTTCAATTAAATTTATTAAGGGTGTTTTAGTGACTCGAACTATATTTGCTTTGTGTAGTATGAATTAACAACTTCATTTTCATATACAGAAATGATCAATAAAGATTAGTGGACCAGAAAAATTGATTGATTCCATCTCTTCAGATTAACAACTTGTAATTTTTAATTTCGCCGGGCCAAATTTGTCCTACTCTTGATACTACTCCTTATATAGAACTCATAATTCCAAACCAAAACCCACTAAGATTGTACCTTTTCTGAGACAAAGAAAGAATGTCAATGTTGCTGAGGATGACAGGCTTGGTTGCTAGAGCCATGTTCATGCAATTAACCATGGGGGCGAATTACACTGTTGGAGGTCCAAATGGAAGCTGGGACACAAGCACTGCCCTGCAAACTGGGGCACCATCTCAATCATTCGCAGTAGGAGACAATCTCAGCAAGTTACATAGATTCCCGTGACTAAATGCGAGAAAATGAGTTCTTAAATTGTAAATAATTGTAAATGAACTTACCATTAGGTGCAATTTTTCAATATACTCCGAACTACGATGTGCTCGAAGTCTCAAAGTCAGATTATGATAACTGCAAGGCAAGCAATGCTCTTCAGACTTACACTGATGGAAACACGGTCATACCTCTTCCTTCTCCTGGAAAGAGATATTTTATATGTGGGACAATAGGGCATTGTCTCCAAGGAAAGAAAATGGAGGTAGACACTATGGCAAGTTCTGCAACCCCGCAGCCTGTTGCTTCTCCGGTTGCTACCCCGGTTCCTGTTTCAACTACAAAAGCTTCTACTCTCTCACCGACAGAGTCTCCAATACCAATAGACGCTGTGATTCCTCCATCACCATCTGAGTCACCATCGATCAGCCCTTCCTTATCTCCAGATGCTTCAGTGATTGAGTTCCCGGCATCGTTCCCTTCCCCAGGCGGTCTTCAATGGCCAACACCGACACCTCCCTCATCAGCTAACAAAGACAGCTTCCAAACATGTCTTGTCTGGGAATTTGGCCTTGTTGCAATGATGTTTTAGGTATTCTAAAGCATCCCAGATCCTTTCTGAAAATGAGATTATCTTTATGAAAGATTTTCCTTCTGTAATTTTCAGCTGTCTCCTGTCTGTTGCATATATGTTAGGAATTTCTAGACAAATATTTCCCAATGAAGTGTGCATCTTGTCTGAATCATACTGCTGAACAGAACACAACTAGATTTGCTAATTACTCACTTATATATCTAGCAGGTTCAAACAGGAATGAATTCTGATTTTCGGTAGAAGATTAAAAATTGTCTGTGATGACAAGATACATTATCCATGGTAACAAATTCTCATAGCAGCAACCTAAACCAATTCCCGAATCACAAGAAAGTCTGCTATAGCCAGGAGTACCAGAAAGTGTTGGAGAGACATAAGCAACAAGCAAGTTATAAAACTCCCTTATAAGCACTTTTCTCTTAAAAAATTTTCAAACCTAGCAAGAGAAAAGTTGCATATAAACAACCTTGGAAGTATAGATAATGAACAAAACAACTCACGTTACAGACGCTTTTCGTTCATCTTGATTAGATACATAAAGATTATTGTATTTTACAAGCCTATGTCTGTCAAACTTGTCAATTTCAAATGCATAGAACATCCAACTACGTACTAATCTCTTATTTCAGACATATTAGCGTAACCATTGCCAGAACTTTTCTTTTGATCGGCAATAATTGATAGAAATTAAGTAAACAAGAAAACATTTATAGATAGGGAATAAGATCCAAATTCCAAGCATCAAAATGCTTACGCGGCTGGAGGTCGAAGTACGTGATCCTGTGATGTGTCAACTGCATCGGGTGGCATAAATTGCCACATGGCAACCCCAGGGAATCCATATAAAGGAACTAACTTGTTGCCAGCGGCTTGCCCTTGGGGAGCAAATGCAGCTGGCATTGCAGGCGGGTGTGGCAGGAAGCCTGGTCTTGCACTCAATGCTTTAATTTGCTGCTCTATCTTCTCCTTGTCTGCTTTGAGCCTCAGTTTCTCATCACGAAGCTCATTTTTCTCTGCCTGCAAGAGTAAATGACGGGTAACTGAAAAACGAAACTTAAAATATAGTCCCTGCATGCCCCATGCCAGTCATTGTCTTACAGGCTAGGGAAATTTGGAATGTGCCTTTTTTTACATTAAAATGGAAGATCAGCTATTATTCTTCTGACAACATGCAAAGAAGTAGGATTAGCTGGATTTAATTTATCCCCAGAGACATAAAATGTCTATTGCATGTGAAACCGGAGGGGAAACACCTTCACCTTCAATTCTTTAATCTTCTCTTGCAATTCTTTATTTGACTCTTTCAGCTTCTTGGCTTCACTGCGTAACTGGATAACTGATCTTACTGCATCACTTAATATAGCAGCTTTGTCCATTTTGGGTGCCCTTCCAGGATCCATGATGGCAGCCAGTTCCAGGAACCTTTAAATTATTACAAATTTGACTTGAGAAGACAGAGAGATACATCCTTAAAAATTAAAATGTCAAAGAACAGTATCATGCCTGTCATTTAGCCTATCCCTCCGCAGTTTCTCTCGGGATGCTTTTGAGCTGGATGCACCACATGATTCAGGCTTCAGCCTGCAGTGCAAATTTATTAAGCAAAATCATTTCTTTTATATCTCATTCTTGAAGAAACATAATCAACCAGCAAAAATGTGACTATCAAAGAACACCCAACAAGGCATGAGTACATAAATCAGTTAGATGCAAAACTGAGTTACCATTTGGCACGTCAGCCATCAATTGAAGTTCTCTTGGGATTGGTTAGATGGATAAACAACAAAGAAATCATACATGATTGCTTATTCTGTCAACACAAATCTCCAAAATCAGCAGAGTCATTCATTGGCAGTTTGAGTGGCCTTGAGCACATATCCAAAAACCCAACAAATGAGCACACTTGCAGATAGATGACAGCAAGTGTATTATTCATGAATTCTACCAAGTTGAAAAAATAGTTTTATATGGTGCCTATTTGAACAGAAACAGTATGCAGCACTGAGACTGAGGTTGGGAGAAACAGCAATACCATGGGATGTATATAGCTGAAGAGATGAGATTAAGGTGAATGTGGTCATACAAGAAAAGAAATGAAGTTACATGTAAGAAGGTCAAGGGAGCATTAGTTGAGCGCAAAGCAAGATATGGATTAATTCGATAGTTTTATGACATACAACATAGATCCAGTATGTTCTGGTGCAAGATTTTTGTATGAGCTACATAATAAGAAATAACTTGGCCCTTGTCACGCAAGAGAGTATGGCCTATGATTGAAAGGATAGGAATAAAAGGGGTTCATGTATCTGATCTCATCTAGTTAGCAGTTAAAGCTTAGTTAAGTCGCTTCTTTAATAATTTGATGCATATAATCAAAAATATAATCTGCAATAGACTATAACAGATACTATAAAACATCAGAATATGGTAATATAGAAATGAGGCATTGTATTTTGATTTTTTTTCCCCTTCTGCATTACATAACTCCCACCAAAATCATAATATATAGAAGTCAAACGCTAGTAGAATAGAAGGTCCTATACTCACACCATAATCAACCTCAAAAAAAAGTCAAGGTGCACAAGACATAAGGAACACAAAACAATGAATACAATGCATGTAGTTAGATTGGAAGGGAACATCAAAACCAGACATGTATCTAATTCATGTACGATGTTGCTGATGTGAAAAGCCTTCATAGTTTTTGAGGTCTAATAAAAGCAAAGTATCCACTCATACAAAAAATTTAAGGCTAAGGGCAAGACCCTAACTTACACTACCATGGACTTTTGTAATTTCTCCCTTCTTTGGATTGATAAACTCCATCAAAAACTAAAAAACCCTCTTCTCAGTGAAACCTAGAGTTATGAGTTATGCAACACAAAGGTCTCCATATATTGTTAACTGTTTCTAGTGAAAGAAAGGGAAGAGATACATACCGTTTTGGGGAAGCAACTTCTGTCAAGCTACCTAAATCTACTAAAGAGCATTCAACTGCCGCACTGGAAATAAATAGCACCTTCATCAAGAAATTATGGGATGTTGCCAAACAAAACAAGTATATGAACAAATTAGCAAAAAATAAAATAAGGAAAAGGACAAAGCATGCCACTTCAGGAAAACATTATTCAAGAGATTGCTTCAAACCATAAATGATGCTTATGATGTGAAATTGAAAACATATCTATCATTCACAAATCAAACAATTAACAGAACACCAAAATTCCATCACATCAACAATTCCACCTATCTTCCGGCCATAGGGAAAAAAAAAAAAAAGGGGAAAACATTTCAACTATCTACAACTAGGGCTATAAAAGAGTCAAGCCAATCCAAGTAGTACTCAAGCTTAATCGAGCTTTAAAGAGTAGAGGTCGAGTTTGGCTCACTTACGAAACAAGCTCAAGTAACTCAAGAGCTACTCACAAACTCTGATGTAACTTCATAGCATGTAATATAAATAATATAATTTATATATTTCCGATTCTAATCAAGTTACAAGTAGTTCGATAATATTATTGAGTTCAAAATCAACCTTGAGCTAGAGCTCAAGCTCGTTTATCATTGAAGCTTAAATCGAGTAGATCTTGAGTACAGTCCTATATGCAACTCAAAACATATCATTTTCTCCAACTAATACATCATGAAACGCAAGAAAAGATGAAATTACAAAGCTAAAACAAATTAATAGGACCTTAGAGAGTTGGAATTCAATATCCTACAGAAACCAAAGAAATTTCTAACACGAATGTCGACTAATTGTCACAAAAACGAAGAAAAGCCAAACTTCTTGATTTTCAAGCATAATGAGTTCAACATTAGCTATAACATGGACATCAATCAATTGAAAATAGTAGAATTAAGAGCCGCTATTTAGATTTCCCTTCACTCTGGGGAACCAGGGATAGAGTTCAGACCTGACATTAGAGGAAAAACTGATGGCTACTTGAGAGGGCCAGCCGTAGCTTGCCGCCGGAGCAGGGAAGTCGGATACGCCGTAGTCCAGGAGCCAATTCGAATTCTCGGCGGAGCCCTGCTCCATTGATTCCTTCCTGCTAGAATGAGCTACCAACTCGAATGCGAAACCGAAATACGGACAAATGTATGGGTGGAAACTGAGCAGTGGTCTAGAAAAGGAGAGCTGAGGAATTTGATAAACGGTTTATGTTTGTGGGCCCTGGATGATGTTTGGAAACTGAAATATGGCAATCCACCTCAAAGATTGTTTGGCTTTTTCTTTTTCTTTTTTTCTTTTTTTCCTTAATATTGTTGAGAGTTTAAATCCTTAATTACAAGGGAAATGATTTTGGGATAGTTTTTTTTTTTATTTTTTAATATAATTTAACATATCACTTAAATTATTGATTCTTTTAATTCATATAATATATATAATATTAAATACATTTACTTATTTAATAATATATGAAAGTTATATAAAAATAATACAAAAAAAATTATTTCTCTAATACTGTTCTAATTATAATGCCCTAAAAATGTGAAACGAAAAAGATGCAAGATTCTCGTTCCAGAAAAAAACAAAGGAAGTCCAATATATTAAAAAATACTTTTCAATTCAAATAAATTAAGAAAAGTGAGTAAATTATTTATATACAAATTTTACGTATCATATTTATATAACATTTTAATTATTTAGTTTTTTATTTTGAATTATTGAAATTTATCATGATTTTTTAAAATAAAAATATATATTTAATAAATATAAATAAATCTTAATTATTAAACATAAAAAAATAAATAATTAAAATTTTATATAAATATAATATATAAAATTTATATGTATATAAATCTCTTTTCATTAAAAATCGTCTAATCTAATTAGGTTTTTTTGATTTGCCAAATGTTACACTGTTGTCAAAGGTTTTTTTTTTTGTGTGTTTTATTTATTATAAAATATTGATTAAAATTATTAAAAAATATAAAATATTAATTAAAATTAATAATTATAATAAGTTATATTTTTAATAATGTACTCTTAAAATGAATATTGTGTGCAGCACTTTTAAGCAAGTGTTAATATTAAAACTTTCCTTTATCGTATGTATGACATGAAAATTTTACTTTATTTTATTTTTTAATTTATTTATCATCTAAATGAGTATCCAACCTCTATTACAAGATCTTAATTAATGAATTTCGTATTTCGCACAAAAAATTTATATAAAAAAAAAAATGCAGCACGCTCAAACGTAGAGGACTTGCCTTCCATCACTGGGCCTAACCATGACAACAACTGACAAATTAACTTATAGGGCAGTTGCATAAAAAATTGCATTCCTTGTACATGTTGCCACGCGATTACGCAAGACTTTATTTTTTTTTCCTTTATTGTAGGATTGATGACCATTTAATCCGCTAATAAAATGCAAATTGAGATCCTTTTCACACGCTCTGTTTATTATTATTATTATTATTATTTTAACAGTTTTCAGATGCACCGTGCTCAAATGTTTGAGTAATCAGGTTTTTTTATTTTTATTTTTAAAAGCAAACTCGCAATATTTTTGATAATATAAAAAGAATCAAATACGAAATAACTTGTAGCATAAAAAAAGAAATTATAAAATAACTTATCATATTGTATAGGTGTATTTAAAATCATTGTAGGTATATCATTTTTTTATTTTATTTCAAGATTTTGTATAATTTTATTTCCCCGGCTCCAAAAATAAGTCTTTCTTTTTTTTAACAATATACAATTTGGAAGAGAAGGGATTTTTCCAAGATATTAGTGGAGTCAAAATCCTAACCAACAAACTCAAGTGCTTTTAAGGTTTGGAGGGGAATCCAAAATTGTCAATATTGTACTGGCATCCGTATTGGTTTTACCACTAAAACGATACATACTGAATACCAAAATTTTATGCACATCGTTTCAAATTTATCACTATAAATATATACTTTTATAAATTAAATATCAAAATTTAAAATAATGATAAGATAAACTAATATTTAAAACCATCATATTTTATAAATTAAAAACAAGTTTAAAATAGCCAGTTTTATAAAACATTTATAATTTTTTTTAACATTCATAAAATATTAAAAAATATAACAGTGTTCTAAATTTAATATTATACAGTTTGTAATACAAAATACTTCCACAAGAGAAGAAATCATGTCTTTTAAGTATAACAAGAATGTAAAAGATAAACCAAAATATTATTGAGAAAAAAGAGCAACAAGTGGTGAATATTAAGAACTAGAAGTTTAAATATGAAATTGTCAAAAAAGACTGAAAATACACATTTTTAGTCTCTTAACTTTTAATATATGCATATTTTTTGTCTCTTCACTTTAAATTAATAGATTAAAAATGTGCATATTTAGATTAACTTAACAGAATAATTAATAGAAAGACTAAAAAAATACATTTTTCATAATTGATGGACTAAAAAAGTAGATAAAAAAGTTAAAAACTGAAAATTATGCAAAACATCAAAGTTGAGGACCAAAAATGAAATTTACTTTTTTTAAATTTGAATTGATTTGTATCGGCCAATTTTCGGTATACTAGCTAGTACATTGAAATACCAACCGGTACATTGAAATTTGACAAAAACGAAATTGAATCTTATACCGTTTCGACTTAATGAACCATATGGACCATGTAATCACCAAAAATATAAGGAACCAAAGATCGGATTTTACCAATTATGTAATTCCTTGGCTGTGAGCTTCACCCATTTTGACTTAATGAATAAATTGGTATGTATTAGCTATACCAACCGATATGAAACAATACCAACAATATTGGGCGAACCACTAAAACTAAAAACCTGATTCAAAAAATAATTCTTTTTTTTTTGTGGAGAAACTTGTAATATTTTTTATAATATAAAGGAATCAATTACAAACTAACTTGTAGCATAAAAAAAGAAATTATAAAATAACTGATCATATTGTGTAGATGTACTTAAAATTATTTTATTTATATCATTTTTCTTTTATTTTATTTCAAGATATTGTACAATTTTATTTTCCCTCCTCTACCTTTAATTGGATAAGTAAAAGAATTAAAGAAAAATAATAATATAAATGATTTCTCTTTCCTCACCATCCCACTAACTTTTTTAAGCAAATAAAAAAATTTTATCTCCCTACCCCTCAAACAAATATACTATAAATTAAAATATTTATTTACGTAAGTCTGACACTAAGAGAAAGCCTTAAGAGTTGTATGGGCTTGATACTGCCATGTTTAGCAAAGCTTCTAAAACTATGACAATAGATTTTTTTAAAACTTGCTTATATGTTATTTTGAAAGCTAAATTCAAAGTTTTTCTCCGAACAAATTTTCATATTTGCGAAAAGGAAAATTATTTATAAGCAAGCTTGCTTGAAAGTTCTGCGAAACATGTGCTATAATTTCCTTTCAATTTTCTTCCTCTTTTCCAATCATCTTCAATTCTCTATCCCTCACCTTTCCCTCCTAAGTCATCTTCCTTCCTAGCTTATGCGCACAAGAGAAGAGAAGAAAAGAAAAGAAAATTCTTCTTTCCAAAAATTAACCCCTAGTCACACCTTGCAAGAACAAAGTTGTAGAAGTAAAAGGCCCAGTGGCTAAGTAGTAATATTCTTCAAGTTAATTATGAAGTCTTGCATTTGAGTTACATCATCATGTAGATGAGATAAGTTTAGTGATCAGAAAGAATTGTCTTATATTATACAATTTAAAATTTTAAAAAAAAATCTTCAAAATTTTGTTTACTTGTTTAACTAGGAACAAAAGGGGATCAATATGCAAGTTTTTTTTTTTTTTTTTCCTTTTGTACATAAGATGATGGATTATATAATAAAAGGTAATAATCCCTTTTTCTTAATTCATTTCTACACATTTTAATGTTTTAAGTTGAAATTTCTAATTTTAAACCTTGGAATTTTAAACAAGTTAAGAGGCCTCCTTACCGCCATCTATCACTTTGTTAGCACTCAAGAATTCCAGCCTCCTGTTCATGGAGACGTGTATGGATTTTCACTACAAAAGTTGTCTTTTGGACTTTAGGTTTCAGCAAATAGATAAAATTAGATCTGCGCAATAGTGAGGCACACATCAACTGAAGTGGGAAATTGCGTTATCTAAGAGTAAATGTAATGTAACCACCTATAAATTTCCTTTTTTTAAAAAAATTATTCTACTGTGTTACTTCGGAAAAATCCAACAATTTTCTCATTGGAAAGTTGGGCTATCAAGCCCAATTTAATGGTGGCAATTATCCATAGTATTAGTAAAAAATTGGAGAAATATTTAATACAAGGACACAAACTTTAGAAAGCTAATCAAGGATCCAAAACTGTACCTGTTAAAAAAAAATTCAAGGATCCAAAATTTTATGTTCTAATTATGGGTCTCAACCTTTTAATTTTTTATTTAAAGACTCAAACTCACCAATTTTAACCATACTTTATTGCATAGAATGCTAGACGTGGGCTTTTTAATGTATTAAATTGGCAAGCATCAAGTGCCAATTTGTTGAAAAATTGTTGTCATTGATTACATGGGCAAAAAATAGAATTTATTAAAAAATGAATATCTTGTTAGTGTGGGACCACAATAGAACCAATAAAGTCTTAATCTTGTCTATGTCATAAATGATAAAATAGTTTTATTTTATAAATCAGCACCTAATATGGGCCACTTTAACAGAATTAAAAAACTCACTTAAGCACTTCATCCAATAAGGCATCCTATAGCAAAATTAGTGAGTTTGAGTCCTTTAATAAGAAAATTGAAAAGTTAAGATCCTCAATTAGGAACAAAAAAGTTTAATCCTTAATTAGCAAACTTCTTAAAGTTGAAGTCCTTATCTATACTATTTCCCCCAAAACTAAATGCAAACTTGAGATTTTTTTTTTTTTTTTTTTAAAGTTACATGAGGAGAGATAACTCTTTCCAATTTTTTAAACCCATATCACATGAATGCCTACAACTCAAGTTAAGACCCCTTACTTTTGTAGAAAAACGGTTATCACAAACTTTTAAATTATTGGAACCTTAAAAGGAATTGTTTCATTTATGATAATAACTATTCCTTAATCAAACTATAAAAATAAGTTAAAAGTAAGAAACTTTCATAAGAAATTAGGAAAAGCTAAGCCTTAATGTTTAATTTTCCATTTATTTTAGCAAACAATTAAGGAATACACATTCCTTAACAATGAAAGGAAGGAACAATATTCCTCATTTATCTCTTAGTTTAATGGGAAATTATCAACACTAAGACTTAGTTATTTTTAGATTCCTAAAAATATTTCTCAAATTTAACTTACTTTTATAATTTGATCAAGGAATAATGACTACCACCCACCAAACATAACCTACACGTTGAGGATTGTTATGGAAATATACAGTCTCGCAAGGACACACATTGAGTGATTCATTACATATTTTGACACTACATTATAACCCAAAAACTATTTCACTGATGTGGGATTTTTGTTTTTCATATTCACAAGGGAAACATACTTCAACTCTCCCTCTTCACTTTGAGTTATGAAGGCTCCTTTGAGAGTTCATTTCTTTTTTTTTCTTTTTCTTTTTTGACATACATACATGATACATTTTTTGACATAACATCATCCATGAGTATACTCGTTGTGGGTTTATATAATATAAACTTTCACTTTTGCTAAACTCGACCAAAAACTGAAATGACCATTAACTATGTTATGCCATTGGCTCTGATACCACTTGTTGGGGAAACATATGGCCTAGCAGGAAAGCACATTAAGTGGTCCATTATATGTTTTAACATCACTTTATAACCAAAAAACTAATCAAATAATTATATGGATATTAACATATTTAAACCACTCTTTTTCTTCATATTTCAATGATGTGAGATCTTTGTTTTTCATACTCATAAGGGAAAAACTCTTTAACAAGGATCATTTGACTTTTTCGAGGAATAACGACTACCACCCACCAAACATAACCTATGGATTGAGGATCAATTGTTATGATGATATGCTAACGAGGGATTGCTATGGTGGCTAGGACATGCTATAAATTTTGAACAATTTTATGTTAGTCCCTTTGAATAATAAATTTTTTATTTAAAATTTATCTAAAGATAATTTTTTTTACTTTTAAGAAAAAAAATATATTTTTATTTTAAATTTATCATTATCTCTTGATATTAATTATCTATCTTATTATAAAAAGTTTCTCATTACCATAATCTCTTTGTTTAAGGGTAGTATAGCTAAAAATGTAAATTGTTTCTGTTGTAATTTAGGCTATTTTAATAAAAAAAAATTAATATGAATTTAGATTTGTAAGGATGCAATGATGTGCATGAATGTCATCTCCCAGACTCTTTTTCCAGCAATGAGGCCATTAAGTTAGGCTTCAGTTACGACACCAGCGGTACGGTAAGGAAACTCGACTGGGTGCCGGTGACGGTCTTTTGCTCTGAAATTGCATATTTCAATTCCCTCATCTATTTATATTTAGCACTTTAGTAGATCATGTACATGTCCCTCTTAAATCTTCTGTTATCATCTTGCATTCTCTCAATTTATTTTGTATTTATTATTTATAAAAATATTATAGTTAAAATGTCATATTTGTAAGATTATAAATTTATAATAATGATGTAGTATTAAATAAATTAATATAATAATACATACAATATTATGGTATTTTTTAAATAAAAAAATCAATCATATAATATATGTCATTATTATAATTTTATAATACAATAAAACGTTATTATTATATTATTTTTATTTTTTTATTAGTAACCATAAAAATTAAAAAAGAAAAGCAGCTTGGCTCACAAAACCAATCCCATTTGCCAACTAGCAAACAGTTCCTTTTCTTTTCTTTTTATTTATTTTATTTTATTTTTTATTTTTATAAAAAGGTAGAATATTGTAGAACAAACTTAAGATCTGGATTAACATACCCCTACATGATCAGCGGTGCATAAAAGGTCCACCTTCAGTGGACATAAATACAGAATATTCAAACCATGGGGAGCTAAAACCCCCCTTTTTTCAAGTGCATCAACAGCCATGTTGGCCTCCCTCAACACATTCTTCACTTGACGTGGGGAATCATGTGCAAAAAGGACCCTGCAACAGTTCCTTTTCTTTTACCAAAAGTAAAATACATTCCCTTTTTGTCTTTCATTATAAAATATAATAAAGTAAGCACTTGTTGCAGCCTCAAATGGGCTAGTAATATCCAAAAAAATGCCATCGTCCATGCTACGGTTTAAGTCTCTCTGGTGACAATTATAAGATTTTTTTCCTTTTTTTCAAAATTTCTCCTTGTTTAATAAAATAAAAAATAAAAAATCTCTAGATACTGGATAGTCTAGTGCAGGTTTGTCCCCAAAAATATTTTTTGGGACCAGCCAAACCATCTCTAATTCAGATTTTAAACTGTTCCAAAAATTCAGATTCCACCAGGAGTGGTTAAGCCCACACGTGCTCAGGTCACACAAACTTTATTTTTTTTAATCAGTCATCTATGATATTAAAAATATGGTTAAAACCCCTTTTTGGTCCCTAAACTATTGTACGGACCCCTGATTTGGTTCCTGAACTAAAAAAATCCCTGATTTAGTCCCTACTGTTTACCATTTTTACCCCGATTTGGTCCTTCCGTCAAATATCAACCTACATGTCCCGTTACTTGACGAGGAAAACGATGACCTGTTAAAACATTTTGACACCTAGGATGTACAGTGTGAAAAAAAATGAGATGGCAAGAAAAAAATCTTAAAAAATTTCTTATTCTTTTTTTTTTTTGCTTCGTTTGTTTTTCCTTTTTCCCTTTCTTCTTCCTCTCCCTTTCCTTTAACCTTCTACAAACCCTAATTCCTAATATTAAATTCAAGGATAACACAACAAATCAAGAGATTAAACTCAATAGATATTTGACCCATCGGCTGCTAGGTTCGAAACGAAACCCAGAGCCTCACTTGCAAGAACTCAACAGCTGCTCAAACCCAAATCGAACCCAGCACCTGCAAATGAACCCAACACCTACAAAAACCTAGCATTCGAAATTGAAAAATCGAACCAAGCATCGAACCCAACACCTAACACCTGCAGTAATGCCTTCTTCATCTTCATCAATCAATTTTTTCATCACAATCAAACAACAAAATCCAAAAAACAAAAATAGAAATTTTTTTTTTTAATTTTTTGCACTTGGGTTCCTTG